TTTTTAATTTGTTGAAGTCGTAAAGATCGTTCCTCGTTACACGGGGGATTCCACTGCCTTTCGGTTTTAACTGAAAAAATAATTCTGTCACAGGAGAATTGCGCGGTCGTTCGCAATGAAAATTAACGAGCTAGAAAATAGCGGATAGCCATGATTGTATTTTCTTTTCTTCCATTCTCGGTTTAATAGAAAATCCGGAGGATATTAGACTCGTGGCCAAGGATCCTGCGACGTGCTCGAAAACGAGAAATCCAACGATCCGTAAAATGAATGGATCGTCTTAGAACGTTGACGGAGAAGAAAAGAAAGAAGAACGAGGCAGATAATAGAACAGAAGGGAAACGATGAGAGCTACGAATCGGACGAGATCGTAATTGGCCGAACCATTTGTTTCCCTCTTTGCCGCTTTCTTTTCTGGCTGATAATCACGCGCCACCGAAGTCGTCGCCGTCTCGTTAGATTTCAAACAAAAACCAGACATAAAGCAGAAACCAGCGTGAAACTGGACGAAAATGCAGCCGAACCGTGAACAACCACGCGGCAAAATGCTCGTCGCTTGGATCGTGATGACAACCCTTCTGACGTTCCCCGGTCAGATTCTTGGCAATCCTGTGGAACCTGTGCCACGAAAATCTGAAGGACTCACGCTTAGGATCGTTCACACAAATGATATGCACTCGAGGTATAATTGTTAATCTTTGTGTCGTGTTTTTTTTTTTTTTTCTTTTGAGAAAGAATAGTTGAATATTCGAAGAAGAATATTTATGTGGTTAAGCTTTTTAAGAGTGACTGTCTCTCATCAGTGTGAGTGTCACCCTTTTCTTTTTCTTGAAATAGAAATAGAAGTAGTCTATACACGTAGCTCATATTTATCATCACTTCGATTATTCGCTATTATTCTAATTATTTACTTTTGTTACAATTCTTCCGTTTTTCTTTTCTCTTCTTCTATAATTATTATCTGTGGGAATTTTGATAGTAATTAGCTTCAATTGGTCATTTATTTTTATCAAGCTATAATTATAATTAGCTCAATTATTTAGTTTTACTATTTCTTCTCTCCTTTTGAAATTTATTTTTTAGCGAAAGAACAAGCAAGAAGTATCTGCAGTGTTGAATTTCTCAGAAATAATCGTTGTCGGTTGTTCTCTTCTTGTCACGATATTTCTCTCTATCGTTACTCTTTTATCTTCATAAAAACAGTTGTAGAAACGAGATAACACAACAATGGAAACAATGCAATTAATGCAATTAATTTAGCTTGAAACTTGAGTTAATTCCGTTTTATCCCTAACTAATGTTCACAGATTCGTACAAACATCGCGATTATCGAGCGTTTGCTCGGAAAAGGAAGCAGAAGCGAATAAATGTTACGGAGGATTCGCCAGGATTGCAACTTTGGTTCGACAAGCCAGAAATTCATCGACACCGTGTCTTTTCCTCAATGCTGGCGACACTTATCAAGGAACTATGTGGTTCAACGTGTACAAATGGGAAATCGTGGCCAAATTATTGAACATTTTAGCTCCGGACGCCGCGGTAGAGTATTCAACTTGAAGACATTTCTATAGCGTGGAAGTTTCTTTTATCGTGCAGCTGTATAAAAATTGCACTTCTCTTTTTTTTTTCTTTTTTTTTTATTCGTCGTTCACACGCCGTTATTTCATGTCTCGCCAGTCATTGATATTGATTTAGAGGATGGTTAATTCGTACCAAAGCGAATTAAATGAACAGCTGCCTCGGGCATTAAGAAAGATCGATTCGACTCAAAGATCGCATATCGTTAAAAAGTCAAATCAATGTATGATTGATGTGATTTTAATAAATCATAGAAATATGTAAATTATAACGTTAGATCGATTTTGTCGATGTTTCGATCTTTTGTATGATACTTTGTCGATTTGTTCAAATTTTCATTAAATTAACTAGCAACACGAGGGAATACGTTTTATCATAGAATAGAATAAAATACGACTGTAAAGTTGTAAAGAGTTCACACGGGCGGAAATTGTTTTTTATCCTTCACGTGAGAACTATCCTAGAATTGAGTTTCGCCTATTGTTGGTTTTAGTATAGTAAAACTAAGAATCTCGAACGTTACAAGTTTTGAATATTACCATTACTTTAGGAAACGGTCGTAATCATAAACTATAAGAATGTTCGTGCATTTGAAGGGAAATTTAAAAATCCAAAGAAAGCAGTAGACAAAAAGAATTTAAATGTTCTCAGTTGTAAAACTGAAATCGAAAAACTACCCTCAAAATGAAATTCTCGAATTTTTCTGTCGTAAAATTGCAGAGTTTAGGAAACCACGAGTTCGACGACGGTGTGGAAGGTTTGATACCCTTCATCCAAAACGCTTCGTTCCCCATAGTCACCTCCAACCTGGACTTAAGCAAACAACCAAACCTGGCGGCCACGAAATTACAAAACAGTACAGTTCTGACGGTGAACGGAACGAAAATCGGTGTAATCGGTTATCTGACACCAGACACCAAAATAATCTCCACAACAGAGGAAGTAATCTTCCTAGACGAAGTGGAGAGCATTCGCAGAGAAGTGAAAACACTAAAAAGCCAAGGTGTGAACATACTAATCGCTGTTGGACACTCCGGATTCGAAGTGGACAAAAGGATCGCCCGAGAAGTGGAAGATATCGACATAGTGATCGGTGGACATACAAATACTTTCCTTTATAATGGAGAACAACCGGATGTCGAGGTGCCAGAAGGTTTATATCCAACGGAAGTAGTGCAGAAAAGTGGAAGAAAGGTTTATGTGGTGCAAGCGTACGCTTATACTAAATATCTTGGTAATTTTACGGTGACTTTTGATAGCAAGGGAGAAGTGACTGATATCGTTGGCAATCCTATCCTTGTGAACAGCAGTATTGAACAGGTAAACGATGGGATTTTTATTACAACTCTATATATTATTATTATTTTACATGAAATAATTTTTTTATTTATTAATTGTCAAAATGAAAAATTATTTTCAAAGTTATACTTGAATATTAATGCTTGCGCGATATGTCGAATTCCAAAATTCGTACATTTGTTGCTCTTAGAACTCAAATAATCAGATAATTTATTTTCTTTGCCAATTTGATCTTGATTGTTTCGTTTCTAATTTTCAACCATCGAGACTTCACTTTCATTCGACTCGTAAAATTATGAAATGAGTAGATAACCAGAAAGAAGCATCTTCTGTCTTTTCCAAGTCATTTATTCCTGACTTTACTCGAAGTATATCAGATTTCATGCTCTTGTCAACATATGATGATTTTCAATGAAATTAATTGAACAGAATCAGTGATATCAGGCAAACTAAAAATTATATTAATTTTATTAATTGTATAATACTTTGCTTCTGTTTCTTAATAGGCGCAAGATATTTTAAACGAATTGGAACAGATGAGAGGAGCCATCGATAATATTAGCCTAACAGTAATTGGAAAGACACAGGTGCTTCTCGAAGGAGATAGTAAAATTTGTAGACGAAGGGAGTGCAACCTGGGCAATTTAATTACAGATTCTATGATTGATTACAATGCTGCTGAATATGCAAATCCATATAAATGGACAGATGCTGCGATAGGTCTTCACAATGGTGGCAGTATCAGAACTTCCATCACAAGAAACAACGACGATAAAATCACCATGGGAGATGTTCTCAGCGTGTTACCCTTTCAGAACACTATTGTAAAAGCTTCGATGAGTGGAGAACTGATTTTGTCTGTATTAGAATGGAGCGTTTATAATCTAGAGCCACACGATACCGCTAATCTCTTTGGAGCATTTCTACAAGTCTCAGGACTTCAAGTATGCAATTAAATTACCCGTGGTGATTAATAAAAGTTGCTTAAATCAAAATATAGATTTTTTTTTTTTTTTACTATTATTAAAAATTAATATTTCACTATTCTTAAGTAGTATTTAATTGTTTTATTTTATTTAAATGATTACAGGTAGTCTACGACTTAACTCTACCGAAGCAATCAAGAGTAGTTTCAGTAGAAGTATTGTGTGCATCTTGCAATGTTCCAACATATAGCAAACTTGAAAAGAATCAAACATATAATGTACTTCTGACTGACTTCATGCAAAGTGGAGGTGATGGATATTCTATGTTAAAAAATCTCCGAACTACATCTCTTGGTATATTCACACAAATTTCGTTAGACATTTTAAATAAATTATTTGCTTGATAAGCGATGTAACAACTCATTTTTTTTTTTTT